TTGTTATTATGGAGAAAAAGAGTTTAAAAAAATTCACCCCTCATCCTATATCAATGTTTGTAGGTTGAACCAATTAAAGAGGGTCAGTTCATATTTATGCTTTATTTCAAATGTAACTTTCCAGGAAGAGCAACTGAATAGTAACGGAGAACTTTACCTAAGGAGGCATCCTCAGTTGAAAGTGAAGGTGGTAGATGGAAGTAGCTTAGCGGTTGCTGTGGTCCTAAACTCCATTCCTGAAGGAACTTCCCAAGTTGTCCTTCGAGGTAGCTTGTCCAAAGTTGCTAACTCCATTGCCCTTGCCTTGTGCCAAGGAGAAATTCAGGTATATTTGACTATTAATCTCCTACATCATTTTTGGTTTTATCTAATTCAACATAATTTTCAATATATAGGTTGTCACGTTAAACAAAGACGATTACAAGAGACTTAAAGCAAAACTTACCCCTGAGGCTGCAATTAATTTAGTCCTCTCGAAATCTTATAATGTTTCAAAGGTATAAACCAAAATTACCATTTATAACATTTCCTTGCACCTCCCCCTCCCTCCTAGATCTCCTAACCCAAAGTTTTATCATTATGTTGAGGTTTGAACCATTCTGGGTTTAAAAAGAGGCTCTTGATTGAAATATTATATTGCAGACATGGCTAGTAGGGGATGGATTGAGTGATGATGAGCAGTTGAAAGTACCAAAAGGAACACTATTTATTCCCTTCTCACAATTTCCAGTAAGAGAAGTTCGCAAGGACTGCTTCTATTTCAACACACCAGCTATGATTGCTCCAAAGCATCTTGAAAATGTAGACTCTTGTGAGGTTAGAAAAGATCCTTTAGTGTTATCAATTTCTCTATACTAATTTGACGGCTTTTCAGAATCAAAGAAATTCATGAGTGAGTTTGTTTTAATTCTAGAACTGGCTACCAAGAAGAGTGATGAGTGCGTGGAGAATAGCTGGAATTGTGCATGCATTGGAAGGTTGGAATGAGCATGATTGTGGTGACACGATGATTGATGTTGAAAAAGTGTGGAAAGCTAGTCTCAGTCATGGTTTTTGCTCATTAACTAAGATTTCTGCTGCTTAATCAAAGGGCTAAAATTATACTACTACTATAGATAAACTGCTGGTTCTATTATTGAATCTGGGATCTACTGTATTTTGTTGCTCAATAAAATTTACCATTTCGTTGGGTTAACACAAGTAAGCACAATATTAGCCTCTACTAGAACATATAATCGGTAGGTTTGAGATACGTATCTAACTAAGAATAGGGTTTAAGACCACCTACTCCATTGAGCTATCCCCCTTCCCGGGTCCATGCTCCCAAGCCTACCCCTACCGACATTGTGACAATTGGTTACATTAATGAGCTCTACTAGCATAATCGAAAATCATATAATCCCAAAACATCGACTGTGATGAACTTACAATTTCGAATTAAATTCATAACAAAACCAATGAAAAATATTCAAAACGAAATAAAATGAAGAGAACAGAAACAAATAAACCAAATCACACATAATTTCAAGAGGAAACTATTTGCATACAAAATGCAGGCCAAAAAGAAGCTTAAGTTGATGAAGCTTACCAGAAATGGGAGAAAACGGGCAAATTTGCACGGAACCAGACGGCCTTTACACAGAGAAGAGCGATAAAGGATCAACAAAAATTTGAAACTGGAGAACACGAATGCAATTTTCTATGGTTATGCAGGAAAAAAATAGCAATTTGGGTACTTGATTTATTATCATATTCCTATTTTAGTCCCGTGTTATTAATCTAAATGCTTTAGCGATCTACTAACCTGATGTTTATATCAAGTCAATACATGAATTCATGTATTAAGTTCATAGTTTATTTTACTTTATTAAATCATGTAATAATATATTTTATATTAGTTTGATTAAACACTGATGCAAGTAAGTTTTCTTTTCCAAATATTTGATCCTTGTACTTAACAGAAGGTAACCGAAGTTAGAAATTTAATAAAATTATTATTTGAAAATGACATAATATATAAACTGTTCATTTAATTTAACTTAATTTTATATCGTATTTATGCCCTTCAACTTTGGATATACATACATAAGTAAATATTTAAACTTGTATACATGAGTCATATGTTGCATATTGTTATGTAACATATCACATACGATTTGTTCAACTTTACACAAATTTAAGTGTCTATTTATGCATACAAAAAGTTAAAAGAATATAAATATGAAATGAGATCAAATTAAAAGGTATATTATTATGTATTATGCAGGTAAAAAACATACTGATTTTATTTTATTTTATTTTATACCTAAAACAAATAAAAATGAATTCTGTAACTGAATTATCACTCGCTAATTTAGGAGGATAAATTTCATACAACAATGGTGCTATGTATATGATTTTGCTAATTTCACGGTGGTGCAGCAACAACCAACCAGAAGCTAATGTTAAAATATCTTACAATGTAAACATCTCATTATATCATTTTTGTTAAATTATGGCCAAATGTTTATGACCAAAAGGATTTTTCCGTCAAATAATCTAACTTTCCACGCAAACACACAATTAATGTTCGCATAATCTATATAGAGTTAGGTGGGACTCATATAGTTGCTTATATCTATTTCTACGTCCTATCAAGAAAATTGAACAGTAATTATTGACAAAAGTCATTTTCCATAGAAGAAATATTGAAATTAAGAAGGAAAGATGATCTTTTAAGATAATAATTTTGAGCCATTATACGTGAAATGAATTTATTTAATTTTTTATATAATATAAGAAAAAAAATTAATTTTGTGATTTTAAATTAACATTATGTCAATTGTTAAATGTAACAAAAGAAATATTTTTTTAATTTGTGGTCTTAAACATTACACAATCCGAAGTTAAAGTATTGCTAAAAAAAAAGGAAAGAATCATTACGAATGGAGTATATAATATGCGATATAAAAAAAAGTAAGATCTTGCGCTATGAAATCAGCTTGAAAATAATTACACGTAAGTTGTCGTTATATAGTGAAATTAGTAACTTAATTAACGCAAGTTCTTGTTATTAGGGATGAAAATGGAATAGAGCGGCAAAGTGAGTTTAAGATTATCCGGGGTGGAGCGGGACGAATTTAAAGTTGGGGGGCGGGAGGGATGCGGGATCGGTTGAAGTTGATTCTTTTTTGAAAATTAGTGCAGGGTGAGTTACATATATATGTGATTTCATGTGGGTTTAAATTTACTATTAACTTTTTACATATAAAAGTGATAGAATATTATTTATTAAGATAATTTCTTTAAAACATTTATATATTCAATATGCTAAATGAAAATGGTTCAATAAAAAATAATACAATTTCTTACATGTTTTTCAATTGACGTTTGAAAAATGAATTTAAAGTCATTATCAATTAAACTAATATAACTTAATGAAAAATAAATTTATTTTTAGAAATGTAATTTTTAGTATCAAACTTAATTAAAAAAAGAAAATATTATAAAAATTATGTAGGACGGGTTTATATGAGGCGGGTTGAAAATTAAAAAAAAAATTATTATTATGGACCGAGTAAAATTTTTACGGATTTAGCTCAGCCTGCCCCCTCCCGCCCCATTGCCATCCTACTTGCTATAACAGAAAGGCACATGTAGCTGCATAGACGTTGGAGTACTTTAATTTTAATAGGGTAAATACGAACTATATATTTATATGTGCATGCTCCTAATATATAGGTTTAGTAGATTCTATATTACGGATTAAGCTTAACCCATCTTCGCTCCATTGTCATCTCTACTTGCTATAACAGGAAGGTACATGTAGATAAATCGAGTTTGAAGTAGTTTAATTATAATAGGGTAAATAGGAAATATATATATATATATATATATATATATATATATATATATATATATATATATGCGCGCGTGTATGCCCCTAATATATACATATAGTAGAATTCTATACGTATATAAAGGCCGTTGAAGCAAAAGCTTTTACACAAAAGTTGTGGCAAAGCTAGAAGCACTTGAACAAAACAATGGCAAATAAACCTGGCATTCTCACTAACTGTCCATGGACACGTTTTGGCGACTTCAAGGTATACTTTTCTTACTATCATTTTATGGTAAAAAATTGCAGGGCAGAAGCTACGAGAACCAGTAACTTTGATCCAAACTTAGTATGTTTATTAAGAAATCCAGTAAATAAGTACATTAACAAATATCAGAATCCATAAACTTAAAGATCATGATCCAATATGATTACTCTAGTAATGGTACACACTTAACAATTATCAGAATCCATATATACTCTTTTCTACTATCATTTATGGCAAAAAGATATCACTAATTAGCGCAACTCTATAGTAAACGTACCACGTACATATTACAACGTCACTTGTGCTAACATTTTTTATTTTTCAAAAATGATTTGTTGGGATGATGAAGTACTTGGTATTGGCACCATTTGCGTGTCACAGCATATACACATTCTTCATGAGCAAAGATGAAAGTGAGAGGGACTTGTTCTACATACTCCTACTCCCATTAACTCTCTTCAGAATGGTTCACTACCAGACATGGATATCTTTCTCCCGCTACAGGACTGCAAACGGGAATAATCGAATTCTTGATAAAAGCATCGAATTTGATCAAGTTGACAGAGAAAGCAACTGGTAGGTACCTTCATTTTTCACTTTTTGTAGATACAAGGGATTTAACAAAACGAAAGGACAATGCAAAATCAAATG